GTCTGAGATGCTGCAGTCGCCTCTCCTGGGGCTCGGGGAGGAGGATGAGTCCGACCTGACGGACTGGAACCTGCCTCTGGCCTTTATGAAGAAGAGACATTGCGAGAAGATCGAAGGCTCCAAGTCTTTGGCTCAGAGCTGGAGGATGAAGGACCGGGTAATGCTTAAGGGCAGGGTGGGTTCTGGAGGAGGAGTGGGGGGGACAGGGGGTGAAGAGGGAGGAAGAAGGGCTCGGAGGGCTGCTGTGCTTCACGCAGCAGTCTGCTTTCAGGTGAAGCGCTGGGTATTGGATCCGGTAGTCTAACTTGCCTTTAGTTTGTGTGCCATGTGGTATTAGGGGGAGCAGGCAGGCAGATGGGTCAGCAGCACTACTCCCAAGTTCACGGTAGTATACTCTTTGAGCGGCTCCCTCATTTAAGATCTTTAAATGAATTTTGGGTACTTGGTGTTTTTCAGGGAAGACAATAAAATTAATCAAGTCTTAAAGAGCTCTCTGCATCAGCAGGTTAATGGTGCAAGCACAAGGTGAAATAAATGTAGTCATTACAGTTGTCTAGTGGTGAAGATGCACGGAAGCTTTGTGGTTTTGAAGCTTGCCACCAGCGTGTTATGTGGACTGTAAAATTAAGACGTTCTTTGTGTGTTTGGAAACTGAGATTATGTGATTTTGGAGACAGAAAATAGGTATTGGATGAAGCACTTACTGTATTAAAGCAAGCTGCTTCTCTTGTGTTTGAATACGTGTTGTGTGTTAAACTGATAAAGCCCAGTTTATCAAAGAAAGATCCTTGCCAAGAGGTCTTGAATCCTGTGTTGTATCTATGTCCCAACTTAAACGTTGAAGTTAAAAGCAAACAGAGAAAACACCTAAGAAATGTCACGCGTAATCAACTATACTCATTCTGTTCTTGGAACCTGCTTTGGGTTACAGGATTCCCAAGCTCTCAGAGTTGTTTTGCCCAAAACTTTGTGTTTATGAATACATACGGGTTTTTTTGTGACCAGATTTCTGTTTCATTTATGATCCCTCTTGCAGTACTATGGAATAACTTGGGAATTGCTGTTGAAGCTCCACCCTGTAATTTCTTCCCAGAGGCGTTATGACTGCGAGGACGCTGTACGTGCGTCTGAGTGTCCCTTGGGGGGTGTCCGCCTAAGCGGTTGTGGTGCTCAGAGGTTCTGGGGAAGGCTCTGGCTGAACCAGAATCGTTTGATCGAGTAGAATTGTATACTGAAAATTTGACTTGACAGATCGTTAACGGATCGAATTGAGTGTTTTTTGGATGTAATTTAGAAGAGCCACAGAACACAAAGTTTTGTGGTATGTCATCTGTAAAGGGTTTTGGCAAAGGAAGGATTTTTCTCTAGTAGACTGTGGAGGTGTGATGAGCTTGCTTGTCTATTTTAGTGATCACTCTGCCTTCCTGTGAAGCTTCCTGTTCACTGATTTCCTGATCTGCAAAGCTGTCCATTTCTAAATTGGGAATGACATTGACTTGATCGAGGTAATCGATAGATTGTGCAGCATAAGCGTGAGTAGGGTGGTAGTCATCAGCTGTCTTCTCTGTATTTGTTGTTAAACATTTCATGTGCATGTTACAGCCACAGAGAATCATCTCAATGAAGAGGAGAGCGGTGGTTGCACTGGTCATCACAGTTCAGTTCCCACCGTCCTTACTCCTGTGGAGTTGCAGTTTCTTCTGCTAAGGGTCCTCTGTGCTGGGAGCAGTGTGCTGTTCACGGACTGGTCTGCTACTCGCTGGGAATAAGCTTAGCGAAATCAGGCCCCGGATCGTTCTCTGCGATACTGAGTCTTATTTTTGTAAATGAAGAAAATAAGAGAGAATCTGAATTTTTCTGTTTAGGCCTCCTGTTTTCACTGTCAGCTTGAATCAAATAACTTTATGTCAGGATCAGCGGTGCTGCTCATGCGTCATTTGTATCTGGACAGCTTTATCAGGTGTTGTTTGGACAAACTTGTTGTTGTATATAATTACTTTTTGCTTAAGAGCAGGGTCATAGGAATATATAGAAAGCATGTAAAGATATCTGAGAGAGGAAGAGAAGCTGACCTGAGAGTGCACAATCTCGTTACTTTTAAATCTTAAAAGTAATTTTTCATGTCTTCTATTTTATTCAACTTTTTAGCTCTCATTGGATGTCTCCTTGGCATTCAATGTGATGTAACAAACTTATCAGAACTTCAGACGGTGAAGGAGAGGGTCTGAAGATGGGGTGTTTAGAATTCTGTGTGGAAAATGACGTTTGTTAAATATTTTCCCCCAGCTAACTCAACTTAGATTAATCCTGTGAAATAGTTCGTAAAATCACATCATCTGGTTTGACCTTGCGTTACGTGAGCTAGCTTGTTAGTTCACACTGCTGCTGTTTTCACGTAGACCAGGTGAAAATGCAAGGTGGAGTGTAATGGGTTTGTCCAGAACACCAATCACCTTAAAAATGCAGGAACTTGAGATTTATGGTTTTTTTTATTACAAAGCATTTTGGAGTAATAGTGTGGGGGAAGATGTGCAGTAACACCAGCCTTGACTGTCAGGAAGTATACTTATTTATTTATTTATTTATTTATTTCTGATTTCACTTTACTGCTTTGTTATATGCTCTCTGGCATTACACATTAATTACTCCTCTCATCTTGTTGGTTTAGCTGTCCTTGTTCTCTTTTCTCGCTTTGGAGCGTTATTGCCCAGGGACCAGCGCTGTGTGGTGCAGCCGTGCTTGTTTTGGTCAGCATTCAAGGCCTCAGATGCCTGTCTGTAGCTGCTCATCAAATTAAAAGCAACGCGTAGTCACTTCCCTCCACTCTCAATCTGACTGCTGGTCTGTGGATTCCCCACTTTGCTTTACCTTCCTTTGCTTGTCTCATGTCTCCTTTTTCCAAACGCTGGGTCTGATTGACTGCGGATGCGCTCTTAGCTTTGAGATGCTGTTGAAAGAGGTTTTCCTGAGGGCTGGAGGGGATACACCTCTTGGTGTGAGTTGGGAGTGTGAAAAGCAGTCCATTATTTTGAATTTGATAAATTAATTTGTCAAAGCTTAGGATGGGAAGCATCTTCGTAATTAAACACACCAGCCTTTCTCTAAATCAAGAATTTCTCAAAGGTTAACCAAAGCAAGTCTCTATCTGCCTGACTTGCAGGTAAATCTGTGGCATTTTTTCCCTGTGAATCATGAAAAAACACAGGGAGTGGTGGATTTTGCCCTTATTCGTAAGCTTGAGTAGTCCTAGGGAGTGATCCTAGCTTTACTATAGTTATAGGAAATGATTCACTAAGATTTGGGAATGGAATGACTTTTTTTTTCATCTTGCTTCATTGCTGTAAAAACCCCAGAGTTTGTATAAACTTGAAGGTTCTTTAGAAGGCAGAACTCTAATAAGAGGGGAGAATCAAATAAGGAAAGTAGTGAGCGGTAAATCTAGATAAAATAACTGAACATTTACTTACCTCCCCTTTCATCCAGAAGGACTGCTCTGAAAACATTTAATCCTTCGCCTCCTGCTTCTGTGGACTACATATGCCATCAAAGTGACACTGCTTTGATCTATTATTTATTTAAAGAATATTTTTAACACAGGAGGGTTGGAATTATGCTTTGTGTATTGAATTAAATCTCACAGCCTCAGTAGCAACCAAATCATGAAACTTGATTTAAATAAAAGGATTTCAAATACACCAGGTTTTACTGACAAGTTGCTACTAAATTCAGAATATTTAAATTAAGATGTACTGTACTTATATGGATTTCTAAAATAAGCAGAGAGCAACAAAGCTGATTGTAATAGTTTAATGTTTTTTTCCTGCTGCCTCGTAACTTGCTGAGTGAGAATTAAATCCTGTTTTTATGAGAAGAGGAATACACAACTAGGTTTCTGTGGAAATGTAGATTAAAAGAGGACTGCATAGAAATGTGCTTAGTTCAGACGAGCAGAGTTTACCTGCCTGCTTGGGAAATGTTTCACGTGTCAAAGGCAAGCAGTGAAGGATAGTAGCGTTGGAAGATCATGCGCATCGTTTCAGCTTGAAATAGTTGTTTTGCTCTAAGGAAGCTTTCCAGGCACTCGTGTAG